GTGTGTGTGTGTGTGTGTGTGTGTGTGTGTGTGTCCATGGTGCTGCAGCAGCAACATGATGAAGTGTTCTGCTGTGGGACGTCCCTGCAGCTCAGGCATGTTTCGTACACTGAGACATTCAGCGTTTTTCTCAGCACTTCATTTCATCCATTCAACCTAACCCGGCTCGTAATTGTCAGTAAATCACAAAGCACGATGTGCATTGTGATCTTGATGTCCCAGTGTGTCTGTGAGAGGAGGGACAAAGCCTCCCAGCAGCTCCACACTCATTCAGCATGAGGTCACAAACAGAAATAGAGGCCAGGGTCAGTGAGCGGTGACAGGAATGTAAGGTTATGAAGCAGATAGACATGGAAGAGGATTACACCTCTGACTTTATTCTGTTATTCTGTGGTCTACACACAAACACAAACTCACTGAGTCCTCTAGTTTGACCAGCTGTTGACCAAACTACTATTTTCTGCCCCTCACACATGTCTCTCACTGTCTGGACAGCTGCAGGGCTTAACAACTCAGTGTGGGATATATATTGTGTGTGTGTGTGTGTGTGTGTGTTTTCACAGCCATGTGTTTTTAATCACCATTAAAGCAGGACCACCAGCAGATTTTTTTTTTATTGTTTAAGAGCCTCATTAAAGTCCACACTTCTCCTCATTTAAAGATTTTCACAGTTTGACCTCCTGAAACAGAGAAAACATGTTTGAATATCAAATCCAATGTGTGTGTTTTGGGGGAAATGTCTAGTGAAATGTTTCCTCTGTTGTGGCTTTACTGTGTTCACACTCACAGACGTCTGTTTAACAGAACCTGCCAATGAAACTCTTGTGTCAGGCTGAATTTGGGGAAGAAATGTGTTAAATGATCCCATCATAGAGCCTCAGTGAAGAACTGCAACAATATGATATGAATTATAGATTAGAGTGGAAACAAAGGATTATTACTCATTCATGACTAATGATTAGGTGAGGGGTATTCAGCTGCAACATGCAACTTCACCACTAGATGTCACTAAATTCTACACACTGAACCTTTAAATATATTTGTATTGTCGACTGTTGGTTGGACACAAAAGCAGATTGTCTTTTGGCAATATTGACATTTTTCATTATTTTACAAACTCTTTGATTAACAAGAAAAAAAAACTAAGTGACATGACAATAATAATATTAATAATAATTAGCTGTAGCACTGATAAAATAGTACTTTTCAGACAAGGTGGAATAATATGAGGAATGATAATGATTTTTTTCCCAATATTAAAGACATTTAAGGGAAAACACGGCACATTTATTGGTTTTTAAAATGATCAATTGCTACATTAAATCCTCAATCCTGAAAATCTTACCTCACATTAAGCTTGTTCTTGTCGTGCTGAACTTGAATGAATAACAACAAAAGAAATCAGGTGTTCCTCCGAGACAAAGACCTTTATTAGGTGATGGATTGTTCAGTGTTCACAGAAGAGGAGCCCTCGTGGCCAAAGTGGATTATAGCTCAGGTGAAACACAGGTCAGAGTCAATCTAATGAATTTAGAAACAGTAAGAAGTGAAAGTAGTGGGGGGGGGGGAGTGAGTGCTGCTGAGGGAGCACAGCTCGTGGCCTCACGTGCTGCTGCTGTTGTGGTTACTGTTATTTTAGGGTGTGGTACTTCATATTCTGTAGAGAACACACCCAGCAGAGAAGAGTTGCCACCGGAAAAGCTGCTTCACTTTAGCTGAATGATCATGAACAGTGGGAACAATTCAAGCTGCCGCACATTTCTTTAAGTGCAATGTCAAACCCTCCTCTGACTGTTGTTTTGGATAGGAAATGTTGCTTCAGTGCCATATAAAAGATAATTCCTCTGTGTCTGGCTCTGTAGATTGTGATAAACTAAAGGAAGTGTGCATTTCTCTGACAAGTCTCTTTGCAGTGTAGTGCTGTATAATAATGATAGTGAAGTGAACGCAAGAAGCAGGTTCTTGCTTTAGGAGGACTGTGAGGACAAGTGTCAGGTCACAGCCTCACAATATCATCATAGTGTGGAGAGTATTTATAACATACATCTGAAACATATGTTCCATAATGGATTCTGATAAGAGTAAGTCAACTCCTATTTCTATCCTGTTTATTCTTTTTGTCTATTCAATGTGTTGTTCATACATTAAACTTGACCAAGAAAGCACAATTTGAATGTTTTATCTTGTTGCTTTGCTTCTTCAGCTCTTAATTGATACTGGTGATTTAAGAATTGAACTTGCTGTGAAAACGTATTCAAATAAATACAAACAATAACATTTCCCGATTACTGGTAAACGATTTTAACTCGACAGTTATGTTATTAACAGTCGTTATCTAGTAGCTGTTGTGATATTGAAGGGTTGTAAGAGAAACAAAAAATATAAATTATAAGCAGAGTTGCTTTTTCAAGCAAAAATGCAGATATGGTCGTGTCAGTTTTATTTTATTAGAGTGTCACCAATAAACTAGCTGAGCTGATTGCTTATTAATATGAGTTTCACAATATGTTGATATTACAACAGATCGTGACATTACAACAGAATTACCACAGATGTGTTGGAGGTACTCACAGAGCAGTCAAAAGTTCATTTCACTCAGTTCTGTGCACAGTCACAATTCTTTAAAGACAAATGTTGCAAGATTTAAAAGTCCATTGTGTAAGATTTAGGTGAAAGGGATCTATTGGCAGAAATGTAATGTAGAATAATCCTCATGATGTTTTCACTAGTGCATTTCATCTAAATTGTATGAATTGTAGTTTTCTTTACCCCAGAAAAGGCCCTTTTTATTTAAATACTTGATATTTACACTGAGGGAACCCTCTCTACGGAGGCCGCCATGTTTTTTAAATTGGACAGACTGGACAAACTAAACACCTTTTTAGTTTTTAGACAATTAAAGGCTACCACAGTTTCTTTTTCATATTTGGAAGGAGAGGCTAAGGAGAGGGGCATTCAGCTGCAACATGCAATTTCAACATCACAAAATTCTACACACTGTACCTTTAAAAGACGTTTATGAAAAATGTTTGTTCGTTTTATGTTATAAATAAAAAATCCGCAGATACAGTACATGTTTTTGATTGACTCTCAAGTAAAAATATTGCTTTCAATTTTGTCTTAGTCTGAACAAGGTTCCACTTACTCTATCCTTAAACTCTTGATTTGAATCAGCACATCCAAAAACGTCAATCTAGATTTTTTAAGGAATTATTTGAAAACCGCTTCTCCACAAGAATTAGTGAGAATTTTACTTTTAAACCCGTCTTGTGATGTTTGAATATTCATGTGATACAGCAGCTGTGTTCTCATGTTCCTGTCCTCTCTGGATCCCTGCTGTCCCTTCACTTCCTCTTGGGGATGAATATCGGAGTGTTTACCTCTGGGTGTGTTGTGTTGTACACTTGTGCTGAATCAGGGCATTGCAATGACAGTCCTTTATAAAAGTGATTTGCTGTTTAAACTATCGATACAGTGAGGAAGCCCTGCGGCTGAAATGATGGTGTGCACTCGGTTTTCTCTTGTTTTGAATTAAGGGAATAAATGAGGAAGAATCCCTCCTCCAGGGCAGTAGGTGGCGTATGTCTAGATAGTAGATTCTGTGATTTTTTGGTTGCTGGATAAAAATCATAGATATGCTAAGATATGAAGACTTTTATTTTACAGAATAATAAATGCAGAAAATTAGTTTTGCATTAAAGGTTTGTTATTTTCTTAAATCAAGTGTGTTTATATTGTGTTTTCTTTTTTATTTATAGCTATCTATAATAGAGTTTAGGATTAAACTGTAAAATATCAACCCTTAAATACTTATAAATATAAATATATACTATATCGGTATCAGAATATTTTAACCCCAAAAAATACATTTTGTTTTGGCTCTAGACAGAAGTAGCAGTAGCACCGCATTAACTAAATACAACAATGAATGGATATTA